TTTCTGTTTTCTTTGTTTTGACTGTCTTCTGCTACTTTTCATGTTTCTATCACCGAAATTGTCCAAGAATTATGAACATAGTTCTAATTCTATTTTTTTCATGCATGGGATCAATGCAGGCAATCCCGAGTGGGCAAGATAGGCCCATCTTGCCTGCTCAGGTAGCCAATCAGAACATAGGATTCGCTTTATCTTGCCCGTGGGTGCTGCGAGTGATGTGATAAAAGAAAATATTCATTAGGGAAATATTAGTTGATCCAATACCAAATTCTCTAAACTAAAATCATAAAAACTGTATAATAGACTGTAAAGAGAATTACTATTCATTCCTCAGGAGCGAAAGGGATAAGTAAACAGCAACATAATTTTCTTTCAAGTTTTACCAGCATTATACACACAATACTTGCTTTTACACTTCAACATGACATTATTGAAACTCTTTATACCTTTCTTGTCGAGGGAAGGTGTTCAGCTGGTGATATTTCGGGCACCAATTGCTGCTTTTCACCCTTTTGTAATTGGTTTCTTTTCAACAGCTGTTCTTTGATGCCTTGTTGATTGTCTCTAAAACAGGTCTGAAGGGTCAAAAATAAAAAAAAATCAAGTTTATTAATTAAAAAATAATATAAGACTAACATCTAAGTTATAAATTCACTGCGCTTTAAAATTCTAACTTCCAGAAGTGATTAACATGTACCTTCTCCCTACAATACCAATACATTATCCAGCAAACAGTTAACGAGAATACTCAAACTTATCAGGTAGTTGTCAGCTAGACCTAACACCAAATTCTCATAACTTATTTACAAGGAAATGTGTGGCAGCTCCTGGGGAGAGTTAACAACTAGAAATTGAAAGTTCAAGGGTTCACAAACATTTCCATTACAGCAAACAATTTTCTTCCATTAATTTGGACTACCGTGGTACAGTATAATCACATGACCCACAGTAAATTAAATGAAAACAAACAGCTTGCTTGACAATGAAATTGCTATTTAAAAATAAAGAAAGCTTTTAAAAACACATAACGATTGTAGTTGAGCAGATTAGCTTTAGAGTACAGCATCACAAGAGAGTACAGTTCTTTCTCAAAGAGATCGAAGTAACAACAGGCTGATTTCATCTTGTTTCAGTCGAGGGAATGCATTTCATTCAAAACTCACTCTTTTGCTACAGAAGTTACATCGTAAAAATACGGGTAAAATAGATCAGAAACAGAGTACAACTTCCGATAAATTGTTACGGAGGTAATAAGTGAAGTTTCAGGTTCATATAAAAGTACATTTAGATAAAGATATTTGTAGATAAGCTTATTGCAAGTGTGAAGAACGATGCACATTTTGTCTTTGGGAGATCAAGTGCAAATTCTGAGTACCTTCACCGCTTCGATTTTCTCTGATTGCTTGGATTGCCGTAGTTTTAGGTATTCCAGCCGAGCGGTTCGTTTTAAGTCACTTTCCATGCTAAAATCTTTCACTTCTGTCGTGATAACTCTACAAGATAGCTTTCTGGAAAATTCTATACGGCGGGAAACACGTTTTTCAAACAATACGGAATGAACATTAGAACTCGGCTATTTTCGTAGCTAATCAGCTGTACTCGGTTCATCTTCGGAAAAGTAGCTTTATCTTAAATGACGTATTATTTATTTGAAATTTGTTGGCGCGAAGCTCAAGAACAAAATGGCGGACGAAGAAGAAAAGGAAAATGTTACAGCTAGCGCGACTCACAAAAAGCCGAAGCATTGTGCAAGTCTTGTCACGGATGTGCTTTTGAAGTCTGGTCGTCTAGAAAAGGAAGACATAAACTCATGTGTAAAGAAAACATTGCAGAAAGCAGAGGAAGTGAAGGTAATGCGTTCTTTATTTAGAGCGTAAGTTAAGAATCGACTTTTTCAGTCTCTTTTTCAAGGCAAGAACCACTATTTATTTTGTAGCTATCCTCATATAATTTTATTTAAAAAATATACAAAAGGAGTAAATTCAACCCATAGCATTTTAATTAGATCTGGTTTGCATCGATGTTAAATTATAATTGTAAATGCATTGGTTTTTTTTTTTATTTTTGTTAATTCCTGCTGATCTACAAATTTTTATTGCTGTTTTTTTCTAATTATTTATGCTTTAAAATTTTTGGTAAATTTCCTGTAGCTCTCTTTATGGTAAAAGTTTCTTGCTTAATTTTCGTTATTATTATATTGTCGCAGTTTGACCTTTTCAGAAAAATTTGGTTTGTGAATAATTCACAGTTAACCACAAACCATTAATGTTTTTTTCAACTGAAATTAAGGAAAAGCTGATTCGATTATATTATGATTTAAACTCATCAGGAGTTATTTAGAACCTCGAGATTGATCGGTTGAAACTTTGTAGGAGATTATTGAACGGGGTGTATTAATTTTCAATTGGTGCATGCTGTAATTCGAAATTGGGTTTATTGTATTCTTCAGAAACATTGATATATTTTATGGTTTTTTGGGAACAAAGATGTTGATGGACCTCAGATTTTGTTAGGATTGTTATCTAGCTAGAAAAAAAAAAACTTGGGGCAAAAGTTTTGGAACTGCAAATTTATCATCTAATTGATCCATTTACACACATCTCCCTTTCAGGCAGAGGTCCTGCAGGCAATCTACAAGGAATACACATTTGATGAATTTTTAGATTTCAGTAATTCAACCTTTGAAATGAACTGGAATGTAAACAACCTTCTTACTGAAATTCAAAATGTTTCTGGTAGATTGAAGGTTGGTGAGAATTTTGTTACTCAATTAACCAATATTGGTTTGTATGTCGGTGTGTTGTTATTGACATATGAAGCAAACATTGTGGGCCACAAAAGCTGCTAAGAGTTACTCGAGGTACAGCCAATAGCAACAATGGCTTCTTTTTAGAGCTCTTTAAACTTTCCTAGTGGTTCATATCTTAATGAACACATAACTGACAGACAAACCAACAAATAAATAGAGGGCAAGTTTCTGAGGAAACTGTGGTGCTGCATCAATGATGAGTATTACAAGAAAATTTTGTTTTATCAACTGAGTTTATAATGTAAATGAACAACTGTAATGAGGGTCATAAGCTAATGTTTCGACCGTTAGCCCTTTGCCAGAGTAAATCAGATAAACCAATTGTTTTAATACATTTTCAAAGCAGTAGTGTAAATGTTATTCCTTAGTTGCTTCACTTCAGTGCAAACACATGTCTTCCTGTGATATGTGCAAGGGAATGTGAAGTAGGCTTTGTCAGTTGAATTGTAATTTTTGACAACTTATGCTTTTGTTTTTCCTTGTGCAAGAGTACTGTGGAAGGTTCTCTTGATGCTGCCGCTCGGGAACATGGTGACCTTGTGAAACATCTGAGAGAGACTGAAGCCATTGCAGAGCTCCTCAAAAGACTCCATAAGGTAAACAATGCCATGTAGTCATTCAATATTTATGAAATTTTTTGTGACAAAACAAACTTAGATATTTCAAAAGTTGCTGATGATACAATGTTATATCTTTCAAGATGTGAAGACACTTGTCTTAAAATTACTAACCTACAACAAAATTTGCAACTTCAAACTTGTAAAGAAACACATCCATTAATTTTCCAGGCAGCATTGACTTAATTTCCTGTCCCATAGGATGTTAAATTTCTTCTTGATGACCAACCTATGTATTATAAACTGTTTTGTTGGTCCCCGGCCAGACCAACACTCAGGGTCTTAAAGTAACTGAGAATGTGCTACCTTTCTATAACATCAAGAAATGGATAGACATTCTAGTCTTATTGGATAACCGTTGACGAATAAACCGTAGGTCCCGTCTCCTGCATCTATCAATTAATAGTTAATTTGGTTAGGCAGGGGATGTTAAAGAACCCACTCACGAGATTACTGTGATGTGGTGTGGCCTGTTTACTGGCCGGGAACTGGGGAGAGGGGGCATCTGTTAGATTGGCCTTTATTTGATTGTAAACTGCTTAGCAGTCTGGTAAAAGTCCCCTGCACAGTATTGTAAAGCCCCATGAGCTCAGGATATGAGCACTATATAAATAAAAGTTTTTATTATTATTAACTGTAGATCCATGAAGCATTGGATGCCTTCCCTGGGGAGCTTAGTAAGGCTGCATATTATAATGCAGCTAAGCTTGTGCAATCTGTGGTAAGAGATAAAGTTATTGAGGGAGTAGACTTCAACTTGGGCTTCAGAAACAGCAGACATGAATTTCTTAATAAGGAAAACTAGATGCAAATGATATGACTTGTCTTTGATGTCAACTTTTGCTCAGGTTTTTGAAAAGTTCATTTGTTGAAATGTCAGCCTCTTTAAAAGTAAAAAATCTTTTTTAAGGCCACACTTGGACAATCATTAACACTCAAACTTATACAATTAACTCTTACTCTTGGATTTGAATCAGTGAGTCATTTACTTGTATTAGTGGTGATAATTAAAACAGTTATTGTTACAATTTTTTTCTTTTGATAGAAAGAGCTCCTGTCTGATTTGCCTAAAGCTGGCCAGGAAGGACGGATTTTCATTGCCCTTAGAGTGAGGGATCATCTCTTTCAGTAGTTGCAATTGTATTATTTATTTATTAAATAAACACCAAAGAAATGCCAGGTGAGCTTTTACATAAAAACGTGACATCTTCACATGTGAAAGTAGCATGTTATCTTCACACATGAAAACAACACCATTACTATGGTTAATACATAATAACGTAGTGAAAGTGAAATGGTTTGGCTTTTCATTGGTGTTTATATAATAAACAGAAAACTACATAGCTGCTTGGAGATATGAAATTTCTCTTCTTGTGTTGGAAAAAATTTCACTTGTTTGCTCACTAACCCGTGAAATATTTTTCAACACTCCAAGAGAAATTTTGTATCTCCACATGGACATGTGATATCCCTTATTTATCATATGACTTATATGTTCCCTTTTTGCCTAAATAAGAGTTTATGGTGTTCTTATCACATGGACTAATCTTCTCCTTGATGTTTTTTGCTTGTCTATCAAGGGGGGGGGGGACCATGTGGTCATCCAAAGGGTGGGGTGGTAGTCTGGATGGGGGAGATCTTCTGCCATGGATACTCAGGTGACTAGCCAATCTTAGCCCTGACGAGCTGATGGCAGAATCTGCAAAGAATGTGTTCAGCCCAACCTAATATGTAATATGGAAAAAATATCAATATATTGCAGGAGGAATGGGAAAGACAGAAAGCTCAACTGACAGCAACACTGGAGAGGGTGTGGACCAAAAGTATTGCATGGACAACACCTACTACAGCATCACTAGACAACAGGCAGGGACATCTGAAAACACAACTCAAGCTAGACCCAAGTGAGCAAACAGTTTAGACTCTGGTCATGACTTCTCCTCAGGTTCTAAAAACAGTAAACTCTGTCATATTGACAACAGAACAGTTCTCTCCAGGACTTCTCTCTCCCTTTGTAGCCTGAAGACTGCCACATTGTTTCTGTAGTATGCTGTCTGGCTTTTTTGAGAACTCCTAAACAAAAGGGGAATGGCTTACCATTAGGATTATGAACGAACTCCCGCAATCTTGATTTTTCTGCCAAATCTGAACTAAAATGAAAACAAATAAAATTCTTTTTCAAATGTACATCCATTCTAAACAAATATATATCTGCAAGCTGCTGTCATTGATGGATTTAATTCTTTTGTTAACCCTTTATGTCATCTTAACACCAGTATGCATAAAATTATTTTCCATACTGTTCTTTACACATTTCCAAAGATGCTGACAAGGAGAATTTGTTTAACAACCTTGAAAGAGCTTCTTTAGTTGGTGACCATTTGCTCTATTCTCGTCATGTTACTGTTTGATCCAGGCATGTTATTGCTGAGAGAAATTAGATGTTTATTACCTGTAGGAGTTGAAGGGTGAACTAAAATTAATAATTATCATGGACAAGATTGGCTTGCATTGATTTGTGAAATTTGATATTTTTATTGGCAGCTGGCTGTTCAATGAGTACTGTCCTTCAAGCAATGGAAGTAAGTTTGATCCTAATTACCATGACAACAAGGCTGCATTTGTGACTGACTTGTGAATGACAGAAACGTCAGAGTAACTTAATGGCTCTTGCTTCTTGCATTTGCTTTCGAAGCTTTACAAGTTCTAACAAGTTCGGTTTCTTTTATCTTCTATGTTTCCAGGTACTTGGTATTTTGGAAAAAAGATTGAGAGCATTTGGTAATGTGGTGCAATTTCTGAATCTCTTGTATAAAAAAAGCTTTGTGGACTCAACAAAGGCATTTTAAGGCTTACTACTTTACACCAGTTACACCTTGTCAGAAAAAATGGCAGCTAATAAGTGAGCATAAAAAAGGGCCTCTTGTTGCAAGATCAGAGCACCCCTGAGGAAGGCACTAAACAGTGTCGAAACATTGGGTCTATGAATTGTAATTTAGGTTACATTCATTAATTAAATCTTTAGTTAAAACCAGAGTAGCATGAAACCATGTCTGATTCTCCACCTGGTTGCTGTGTGAACTTTAAAATATCGCATTTTAACATTTGGTATTTTTATTCATGTAGGAAAGAGGCTGGTTCAGTTTATATTTCGTCCCATAATACTGTTTCCCAGGTAATGTAATATTTTCAAGTGAATTGACGATTAATAACTAGCTTATGCTGTATACACCTATCCCAGTTTTTCTTGCACACAGTGGCTGAGTATCTCTTTATCCTAATGAATGGAATTGTAGTACAATGCCATTAACTTCTGAGCGTTTCAACTGGCATCCTTAATCCTCTGACCCCTCAGCTGCAGAGTGACCAGCATCTAATTTCTCCTTACAATTTCACCCCTGAATCACACTTTGATGTCACGAGAATAAAGGTAATGATCAACAACAAGAGAAGCTCTTC